CTCGTTCTCTCGCCGGGTTGAGAGTTTCGGATCGATACTCATACACGAGGAAATCCTCATAACCACACGAGCCGAGATGAGATTCGACTACACCAACGCCTTCAAAGTGGCCTTGATAGTGTCTGCCCTCCCGTCAAGAGTTTCCGTTTGATGGGTCGATGTGACTGCGCCGCAAGAGCGTCGAGCTCTTCGATAAATCTGTCCCCCACCTCCCTCGTCCTGCCCTGGACAATTTCACGTTTCCAATTTAGTTTGCACGCGGCACACACCGCACACACACACACACATGCGCAAACGCACCCAGAATTTATGAAGATGAAATCGCTGGTAAACATTTTTTTAATGAGACTTGGGCCGCGCGCAGGCAACACATACACGTGTGAAGGCGTTGCTTCGATTAAAATCAATTAACTGGTCTTTCGCGTTTACTTGTGAGCGCGTGCAGGTGTTTGCAAGTGCGTCTCGCGCGTTACACTTTTTCAGTCGCATAATATCGCCTTTTTTTGCCGACACCGCCGCCACCGTTCACATATTTATGGTTTGGCGCGAAATTATTGAACAAGAAATTTCATACTTGCACGTTTTCGTTTGATATTATATACTATATTTGGATCGATATTGTACTGATTCCAGTAATGGCAATATGCTTCGATTCCATGCTTCGATTCCATGCTCCGATGGAATTCTTCATGCATAAGAAATAATATTCATGATGAAAAATACTTGTCGCCAATGTATATAATATATATAAATCGATTATTTTTTTTTTATAATATCGGAGCAAATAAAATTCGAAGAAGCGTTCTCAATACAAATGACCAGGCTCATGAAGCGTGTAATGCATTTTTAATGCAATATGGAGAAGTATTAAAAAAAACTGCGAACCCCAAGCGCGGAACTGTTGAGAAAAGCTGCGAAGGTGTGTGCGCGCGCTGATCGTCAAACGCTCCGGTATATACGTCTTACATAAACTAGCCGAGAAGAAAGTGTAGGTTGTAAAAAAAGGGAAGAATTCCGTGACAATGAGCAGGCTCTCGGCTGTTTGCTGTTTAACACACGCCCGTCGTGAGCTCGTCATAATTAGGCTGCAAGCGAGCCGGAGCTCACTACAACAGAAAAAAAAAGAATAAGCCGCCCTCGCGGCGACGCGAAAAGTTCGCTCCAGCTTTAGAGAAATAATTCTCGTAAAGAGAGCGAGAGTATATAGAGCTAACTGTAATACGGACTTTTTCGGGCGTTATTAGTCAAAAGATCATGATTACAGAGCGGCGCGCGCGCGTGAACGACCACCTGGTGAGGTATGCTATAAGAGGAAGCAAATCCGTTTTGAGTGCGAGCTGATGCTTTTTCTTTCTGGGTGCGAAGATCGTCACTTTGCGCGCGTCCAGCACAGTACGCCCCGTACTTTGTTCGTGTTTCTATTTTACGACGCAATGCGGACGTGCGCTTCGACGCCCAAACTATATGCGGAATATATTCAGGGCAGTTCGAGATGTGCGCGCGCGTATTATAAAGCACAAGCGCGGGCGTCTCATCCTCGCGCATCGACAGAGATAAATCTTCACGAGAGAAATTTTTGCGTGAAAGTTTTTCCGTGTCTGCGTGCGATATATTGTCATATGCTTCGGATAATACACCGTGTGCGGCTGATGTCGCTACCGCTTCTGCGTGAGGTTGTACGCACTTGGCTTTTCAGAAGTTTCGAGCTTTAGATTCTCCGCAGTTACGTACACGTTCAACATGACAAGTTTTACTCGATGTTCTTGTCGGTGCAATAATTCGAGCTTAGTAACAAGCTGTAAATGAATCATTGCTTTGAACCTATATTCAAAGTTATGAAATATTAAAATCTTTCTAAATATTTTATGATGAAAAATCTTCAACGCTAAAGACTAATTTAATTGTTGTATTAAAAAATAAATCGAATAAATATTTCAGTCACATTGTATTGCAAAAATCTATTTAATATTTCCTTCTTTCCAATGCCAGACATACATGTAAACTCTTTCCTATGCGCACAAAGAAGAAATCCTTATTTTCCGATACTCTTTCTTTTAAGAAATTCTTCTTGTCGCATAATATCGACTTTGTATTTCTAAAAAAAATTACACCTTTTCTTTGACATGATGTCGTTGTACGAAACATTATTTTCGGGTCCGGAAGTATGTCGGATCGTCAAAGGGCACCATCGTGTCACCCTTTATTGCGAAGCAAGCTTCCTTCTTCCCAATAAACTACAGGATTTGTTCCCTTATAGTCACTAAATGTACCATTGATGAAAGTCAACGATTTTACTTGTAGTAATACAGTATGAATATTTTTATTTTTCCCTAAAATTGTGAGTACACTGTTCAAACAATCTTTGATTCAATGCAAACATTAAGATAAATCAACTCGGTACTCTAATTTAAACATATAAAATATTTTAATACTAATTTTTGCGTTAATTACTCGAAAAGTTTATTAAGAATCAATCGTATTGAAAACTAGTCTTCGCCACTAGATGGCGAATATTTTTATCTATAAATCTGCAAGTGACATAGTGAAATTAACTGTATAAGTATAATACGAAATAATACTCTATTTATTACTTTGTTATTGCGTTTATCCCTATACTTAATTTTCCAAATCGATCAACTTAAAATCAAAATTTTGAATGTGCAAAGCTAATGATCGACTTGATTTTTACGGAATTGGAAACTGAGCCCATTCTACTGTAAACGAAACTACTACAAATATTTTTCGAGTTTAAAATGTCGTTACACTTTATACTTGGCATAGCACGCAGAACTGTCGGCATTCGCGAACTCTCCTCTTTCGCCCTTTGTTGTCTGGCAGAACACCATGCGCCTAATACCTTATCAAGAACTGGTTGTACTTGGGCAAAACAGCTCATCTTCTATCACATGCCTTGAAACTTTTACTGCTTTTACTAGCTATAAAGTTCATATATCCCGTTCGCGTTAAATATTTCAGCCTTTTTGATATTACGTGATGAGTTTTACGAAAGATTCTTTGAATTATTTTGAGCTTATTTACCTTGTATTATTTTTATTACAATATTTTACTAAATTAATTAAAGTAATGCTCTCGTTTTCGAGATTTTTATAAATTTATACATTGTTTTGAAGAGTTTTTAATTTAATGGAACAAATTCATAATGCATATACTCACTAAGCTTTGGACGTCGATTATTATAGAAATGAAAATTCGTTCTTTTATGAAAACATGTGTAGGAGTTCAACACTAATACACTTGCAACTGCTATTTCACATGTTTATGGAAACTTTTTCTAATAATCGAAAACTTTCAAACACTCCAGTAGGCAATAATACAAAGCCCGTAGAGAGAGAGATTCGATTACCGCTGAAAAATTATAAAAAATGAATGTTATTTACGAAGAAGAAAAAAATTGTTGTTAAGGGTAGGTAAAATTTTAATGAACTGATACAGTTTTACACAATTACATTGTTTATATCAAGTTTTTTATTTTCAATATTTTTCAAAATTTAATATTTCATAAAAATGAAATCTATGATATTCAATTGATACATCGATTCAATAAAATTCTGAAGTTACGATTTCCAAGTTGATTTCACCGAGTCGTGCATGGTGGTGTTTCATTTCATTATCTCTTCAATTAGAAAAGTTTATTTCAAAAAGTTAAAGTTTTAAAAAATGATCAAAAACTCTGTAATTCATCTTTAAATTAAAATAAATGATTCAAGACGGAATTGGAGCAGGCTGGTAAAAATATAATGAAATCCTTTAACAATATAATAATTTAACTCAAATTGAAAAATTGGCTCAAGAAAATTCACTCGTACCTGAACTCGAGCAATAAAAGAAAAATTACTAGCACTTAGAAACACATTTTGTGAGGCGTCAACGCGCTTAAGTACGTCGATACTCCAATGGGTCGCTAAAGCGTGTAATCATTGTGCTTTCTGTCGCGCGAAGGTTGTTATGCACCGAGATTCTTTTTATTTCTTTTTCTCTTCCCTTTTCTTCCTTCGACATGATTTTTCTCGACTCTACATACATAGATATAACTGTGCAATATATTATACCAGACTCCGACAACCGAGAGATTTATAATTGCACAGCAGCGGCGGTGGCGGCAGCAGCAGCAGCAGCATCACAGCGTTGAAGAGAAAAGAGAACGGGCGCAAGGGGGAGAATTTTCAAGCGCGAGTGCACACGCCAGAACTTTGATGAAGAAATATTTTTTTACGATGGAAACAGACTTAAGTGCGAGAACTACTAGGGATATCGTTACTCTTGCTCTTCCAGTGAAGTCTGTCGAAAAAGCCCCGAGAAAGAAGCGTAATATGTTCCTATGTGCTCACACGCATAAATACGTATATAGCACTTACTCTTTGCTATGAGGTAGAAACTTTTTCCGCTCGGTGAAGTCATACTGCAAAAGCAATTAATCAAGTTTATAATTGAATGTTCGTCTAATTTCAAATATTGTCATGTACTTTTTCGTATATTTGCAACCTCGAATTTATTTCATTTTTTAAATTACTGAAAGGTAATTTATACCTGTACACCGTAACACGTTGCGTGCATCGTATGAACTAAAAAATCTCGGTCAAAAAAAACAAAATCATTCCGAGCGAGTAGCACTAACTAAACTGATGCAGCATTCGAATTTTAATTAATTCGTAATTAATGACACTCTCATTATTGCTACATAAATCAGTTGAACAAAAAAAAAATCAATCGCTGCGTATATGCAGGTATTGAAACACTGTTTTTCATTCATGCTGTGAATGGGTTGTATTGATTCCATGAACATGATTGCGACACAAACCGAAATATATCACTTGGTGCATCTGACGTATGCTATATTTTTTGGAGTTCATATTTATAATCGAGTTATTTTCGAACATCTAACCATCGGATTTGGGCAAAAATTACTTTTTATTGGTAAATTATGACAAGTAAATAATTGAAAATACATACTATAAATATTATTAATTGATAATTTGTTTATTTCCATCGTATATAATACATAAAATAAAAGTCGATTAAAAACAATAGTCCAAAAACATGTGTCTTATTTTGTACAACGCTGAAAAAGTCAATGTCCGTTTTACTTTTTTTAAGATATACTATGACACAGATATTAAGATATTAAGAAATAACACTTTTTTTGTCTCTAATAAAGTCTGAACAGTAGTATATATTTATATATTTATAAATAATTTTTTAATATAGATTATGCAAACGTCTTGAAAGTCATCATCAGTCATTAGATTTTTAATGGTAAAAGATCTTATAATTTATCATCTCAAAAAACAGCGTCGCGAATACGCGCATATCCTTACGTTTATACAGTACAATAAAACGTGTCAGGGCGCGCGACTATACTTAATATACTGTTATTATAATATATCGACGGCATAAACGAGTAAATCAGAGCATACAAGTAACTATTATCTCAGTATTTGTGTCTTTCGTCTGCTGCGCGCGGGCGGGCGGACACCTCGAGTGTGTGTTTGTATAATCGTTACATTGAGCTTGTGCGTGAGTGTGTGTATAAGTGTGTGTATACCTGTGTAAATGTGGTATGGTTTCAAGTGAAGTGTGACTTTATATATATAATATATATAGATGTACGTAATCGCGTCGGAAGTCAGTTTTTTTTTACTCTTACATTACTTGGCTAAGATCAATGATCGAATTTAGTTGTTACAATTAAACAATGAAAAAATTCCGTGAATATCACAATGGAGGTAAAAACCCTTTCAGTTTTTTGATGTTCGCTGCTCGGTTGTCGAATTTCACGTTAATCCTACTACAAGGGGACATCATCATCTCGATTGGCTGTGTCTTGGTGCGCGCTTGGCGTTCAAGGCGAACGTTTCATGTTGTACTCGTTCTCGTACTCTTTGATGTACAAATTTTTGAGAAATATTTGATTATCGAGCTCTCCGTGCGAGGGGGGAAGGAAGCGCTTGGTGCGACTGCTCGGCGCGTCGACTTTGGACTTGGTCAACTCACTGCTGCCCGACAGTATGTGGTTTATGGACAGTAACTTACGTCGCACCTCCATCACGGGAGGAATCTTCGTGGCGGATAAATCCCTGATTCGCTTGCTTCGAGATTTGGGCTGATTGCTATCGATACCCATTGACGGGATCTCATTGTCCGAGACGGATGGTGTGGTGGAAGTGGAGGTGGCAGTACTAGTGCTTGAAGCAGCGGTAACACTGGCAGGAGTGGAGGTGGCGATTTTCTTCGTTGCGCTGCTGCTGCTGCTGCTGCTGCTGCTACTGCTACTGTCGTTAATTATCGCCGGCGTCGTCGTCGTTCTACTGTCTGGTTTCGGAGCTACCGAAGTGCTCGTCGTCGATGTAGCCGCCGAGATTGGAATCGCAGTAGTCTCGTTGTTATCGCTTTTGGACGAATTGAGCTTACTTTCAATGATATGTTTGAAAAACGTGTAGATCTCGCCGACGGTGAAACTCGTATTGTTTCGACCCGACACTCGCTCGATCTTCATTTTCTTGATCAGTTCTTCGGTGGCGTTTTGTGCTTCGAGAGCGGACAATTTTTGAGTTACGTAGTCGTTGATAAACTCATAAAAACCCTTGAAGTGGTTCGGTGATTTGTGCTTCTTTTTTTCCGTATCCTTTTCCTTCGCGTTTTCCTTATCTTTTTCCTTGCCTTTATCCTTCGATCTGCTCTTCTCTTGGTGTCCTCGGTCTTTTTTCTTCTTCTTCAAGTCTTTACGCAAATGTTTCTCGCTCCATCGCAATGACTTATTGTAAAACTTGGTAATCCTCTCGAACTCGCGCTTCAACTTGGTGAATTCTCTCTGACTCTTGGTCTCGGCATTTTCGTGATTTTTGCCTACACCATTTTTCTTGTTCTCGGAGAGGTCGACGTTGAAGAAATTTTTGCTCATGGCGTTGAGCAGGTCGTGCATCGTCAAATTGGTTTCGTTGTTGGCGTGACGAGCATCGATTCTCTGCAACTTGCGGTACACCACGCGTAAAAAGTCGATCATCTTTTCGTCTCGAGTTTTACCACCGTGCCCACCGTGGCTCCTGCTCACATTGCGATGCACCACGACCGTGTTATTGCCAGAAATGGTCTGATTTATGACCTCGTTGATTTCGTCGGCGTGAGTCATCGCGTCGTGACTTTTCTCCATTTCGAGCTCCAACAGTTTCTTGCCGAGCTTGCGGAAGAAGTCGATGAATTTGCGATAGGCAACGACGACCGTCTCGTTTCTGTGCTCTCCGGCAGACCTCTTTCTACGGTTCCAACGGATACGAGGATGCTGACCCAGCTCGCACTTGGGCAGCTCTTTGGGACTCCAAGAGCCTCCGATGCAGGTGGCACCTGGTGGTCCGGACGCGAGATAGTAACCTTTGTCGCAGTCGTACATTATCTGCTTATTATTAACAATTTTCTTAACGTAAGGTCGGTAATCGTAGACTCCCATATTTCCAACCAGCAGGACTTTGCCGTTTTGCACGTAGCCGGGGAACGGGCAGTAGACTTCGATGCAGTGAGGAATGTCACCGGTCCAGTTGCCGTACTGACACTCGACGGAGAACGAATTGTTGTACGGACCGCCACCGATCATCTCGAAGCCGTCCTTGCACTTGAACACGGCCTTCATGCCGTGCTCGGTCTTGGGCGCGATCACCATGCCGTTCTTGGGCGGCTTGGGCATGAGCTTGCAGCGAGCCGGCGTGCACGAGGGCACGATGGTCCACGTGCCGTTGTTGCACTCGACCGGATGATGAGCCATGGCGAACTCGTAGTCGCTTATGCACTCGACCACGAGTCGCTTGCCGTGCTCGGCGATCGTCACGTTGTTGATGTGATCGCGCTCGTCCGAGTAAACGTACACGTGGCCGCGGGCGATTTTCGGCACTATACACGGCGCTAGACACTGGGGCACTGGATAACGCCATTTGCCGTCCATCTGGCACAGACTCGAGCTGTGGCCCTCGAGTTTCATGTGCTCCTTGCAGCGAAAGATTACGCTCGCCCCCATGCCAGTTCCTGCGAGCACAATCAAAATGGTTTCGTTCTACTTTTTTGTAAAGGCTACTGATAAACTAATAACAGAAAATTTTTCTAACAAATTAACTAACGAAAAAAAAAATTACTAATGTGCTCTAGGAAAGAATTTCAGTGCAGCAAAATAAACGATCAAGCAAACAACACCTCATTTAGAATACTGACAAAAGCTTTACGGATCTTTACCATTTTCTATGTTATCGATCCAGCCATTATAAAGTATGCCCGGTGGACCACAATTGATTTCGCGACAACTGGGCGCGTGACCGGTCCACTTCCCGTCAGCGCTACATCGTCTCGTTGACGCGCCGACAATGGTGAATCCAGTTTTGCACTCGTACGACACAACTGAATTATAGGCGATAGACGTGTAAATGGCTTTCCCGTTAACTGGGTTCTCCGGTGGCTCGCATTCCACCGACGTCACCTGCAGAGACAATGTATAAATCGAACTTTCAGCTCATTGAATTATTAAAATAACGGACGAGGAAACTTTGCTAAATACTTAACGACGCACGTAGCTGAGCAGATGTAATCAGAAAATTATATATAAATAATTTCCGTTCTCTGATTGTGGAATTTAGAATTGAATTTTAAAAGCTTTTACAATTTTGAAACAAACAATTCATTAACGACCAAAATTGTTATCTCAAGAGAGTTTACAAGTAACAAAATTCAAAATTTCTGTCAGAGATTAATTACAAGGATCGCTAATGTGTTTAACAAAGTGTAGGGCGTTTATTAACCTCGACACATTTTGGAAGTTCAGACGGAAGCCAAGAGCCATCAGCAACGCAAACTTTTTCAGTTTTGCCAACCAGCTCGTAACCGTCAGCACAGTGATATGAGACATGGCAATCGTACTTGTAACATTCACCTGTACGAAATAATGAAAAACATGTTGATTGAGATGCGTTATTAGATTGTTTGCATAATTTCTATTCATTATGCATGAATGCTTGAAAGGTAGCTTGGCTTTGTTGCCACAATTTCGAAATTTGACACCGAGACAAACTGTATACGGAAATGAATTATTGCACAGTTGAAGACTGATGCAAGTTGTGAAATTTGTCTCGGTGAAATAAATATTATAGATACTATTGCGGCAGCTTTTTTTATGCTACTTTCAAGGTTGAAATAAGAATGAATTTATCTAAGCTATACTTGGAATAAAAATCAATTATTGGCGTGATCTGAGAACTATATTACGCTTGTTAAACTACTCAAAGGGGATAATGTGCAATATTTTATGACATGCATGTTTATAGCATAGTCATGCATTATAAAATTCTTAACAACATCAAAGTAAAGAAGTTTCTTTTAAAAAAAGCTTGTCCTAGTTTTCAAGTTGAATAATTAACAAAAAAATCTTTCTATCGTGTAGTATACTTCGTTGATCATATCTATTAAGCACTTTTATGCTCCTTTTTTATCAACTTCACAATAATTATTGAAAAATAAACAACGTAAAAAATGTACACTTATCCTCATAAATATCGACACAAATCGCAAGCATACAGAAGCTTTGAGATGTTTCGATGAACTTTACCTTTACTCTGAACAACAGAAGGTTAAAAAACCGAAAAAAATACTACGTATCACATTCACTAAACAACACTAAAAGATAAACACAGTAGTGATTACTGAGAAGCTTCTCTATACAACATCATGATGTGGCACCAACGTACCAGCATGCCATCCATTGGCAATGTCGGGTGGTGCTCCGCAACTCTGCGGTTCGCACACGATATCTGGCCCGTACCATCCAGCCTGACCCTCCGTCATCAGGCACTTGGCCTTCGGCGAACCCTTGGTCACATAGCCGTGATTGCAGAAGTACTGGACCATGCTATCGAGATCGAAGCTCGACTGCTCGGGCAAGGCGTTGTGCCGAGCGTTCGGGAACTTGTGCGGCGCCGGACAGAACGAGGTTGGGTCCTTTTTGCAATTCGGCGTGACGCCGGACCATCGGCCGTCGGCCCGACAGGTTCTTTGCGCCAGGCCCACGATGAAGTAGCCCGGATCGCAGGTGTAATTGGCCTTGTCACCAAAAAATCGGCCGCTGATCACCATGACGCCGTGCTCGATTTCCATGAGCTCGGGACACTCTCGGTCGGGCTTGATGCACGACATGCCGCAGAAACCGTCACAGCGGCATTTCTTCTTCTTGCTCTTGCAGTCCTCGTCGGTGGAGCACTTGCGCAGGCACTTCTGGCCGATGATCTCGGCCTGCTCCTCGTCCCGCGGACAGTGTGCCGACGGCGAGTTGCGCGGGTTCTTGTACACGCGTCCCTCGTCGTCGATCTCCGGCTTGGACGGATAGTTGTTCTCGCGGCTGTTGTCCTCGTCCCACTCGTCCTCATCTTCGTCATCGTCGTCGTTGTCGACGGTCGACTGCTGCTGTTGTTGCAGCTTCGACTGCGAGGCGACGAAAAAGGCGCACAGCACGAGCAGGCTAAGAAACAGTCTCGGCCTCATCTTGGCTCAACTGCAGCAGCAGCAAGCTCGTGGCGCGGCTGTGGGCTTCTTGCTGTTGTCAACGGCAACGGCCGAGAAAAACAGATCACACTCACCTACGAGACTCGGCTACAGCTACACACGCGAGAGACACAACAGTCGACAAAACGACTCGCACTGTTATATCGCCCAATTGATGTAGAAAACACAGTCGCTGCGCGCTAGCCTAAAGCAGCTACAAAAGCTGCCTACATGTTTACATTGAATAAGAGGGCGATGCCACGCTCACTCGCTCGGGCGACGAGGTACGCGCGCTGTACACAGCTATAAAGCAAAAGAGACGCACTTCACTTCACACGGCACTGCACTGATTACACCAACTACGAAACTTCCGAGAACTTCTGGAAAAGAAGCTTTGCTCGAAACCCTCTTCCCCTATAATCTTTTCTTTTTTCCAGTCGACTCTCGCGTACAGGTCGAGCTTTTCCGGCCCAGTGTGCAGCGATAGAAATACACTCGGGGGCTGCTGGCGCGACACTGCGCTCGACGCCGAGTCCAGGAATATATCGGCGCATCCGAGCTCGCGCATCTGGGCTGTTCAATAACTGCCGGCTCTGCTCCGCTGCTCTACCCTTGCGCAGCATCCGTCAGATGGTGAGAGAGCTTTAAGCGCGCGCGCGCAGCCACCCCGTGCCCGTCCCGCCGTACCCGCGCGCACCGTGGCGTTCGTTGCACGGCGTCGTCGTCGCAAGCTCCGTCCGTCGTCGTGTCGTTGGCCCCTCTTCTATGCACACGCAGACTCTCCCTTGCTCCCTCGTTCGCTCTCTCTCTCTCTCTCTCTCTCTCTCTCTCTGTCTTTTTCCCTCTGCAATATATATACTGTCTCTCGCTCTGCGTTCTATAGCGTCTATGTGTATTGCATTTAATGCGGTGGTGGTGGTGTCGGACGACGAGCAGCAGCAGCAGCAGCAGTAGCGTTGCAATATATACCCTGCGACCGACCTCGGTCAATGTTTATCTTTCGCCCTGCGCTATGATCGCATGCATGAATTTATGACCAATACCCATGTGAACATCGCCTTCACACCTTGAAAACTTTGAAGTTCTGTGAGAGCCAAGTTTGTGATCAACTCGGTCGATTGTTGCAGCTGCACTACACTAGCTATACTCGAGGATTGATATGCATGAATTAACTAAAAGCTGCATACCAAGCCGACAACGCGCTCTTTTATTTACGTTATTTTCTTTTTCAACTTTTCCAAATACTTGAAATTATAATGAAAAACTTGGATCAAAGCCGATTATGCAGAAATATTTTCGTCTTTAAAAGGTGTGCTAAACAGAAAGCTGCAGAAGCTTTGTGCAGAGAGAGAGAGAGGTTAACGTGATGCTCTTTGTAGATTGATGGACGCAGAAGAATAGATTTAAGAGCGAACAATGCGAAACGAAGGGAATCGAGTCAGCGTGTTAGAAGTTTCGAGTACCCGGAAACTATTTAAACGTAGTGCAAGAGAGAGAGAGAGGAGAGAGCAAATTTTCCGAGGTAACTTTTCTCTCTCCCTCTCGCTCACTCCATCTTGCTGACTTTGTGTCGGAAGCGAACATTTTTGAAGTGGTTCACGCGCGTGCTTCAGCTTGTCAAAGGAATTTCACAAATAATAACTAATTTGTGTCGATTAGATGAAATGATAACGGAGTTCATTACATAAAACTCACGACTACAAAAACTAAAACTATGAGAGAAAATTTATATTCAATACAAATCAGCATATGCAAATGAGTTTCATTGACATTTTCTTTTTTTGTAGTAAAGTATTCAATTTTTTTTTTTGACAAGTGGTTACAAATTATTTTAAATTCACGCACCTCTGTAAAATCGAATCAATTGAATTTACGCAAGCAAATTTACGACTCCGAGAGACATATCCCCAACTCGACAATAGGACGAGGGTTCGATTTCTTGATATATTGCACGATTTAATATTTGCAATTGAATACGCGACGATAAATTTTCATAAAACACCGCACGTTCTGTATGTATACTTATAGATAAAGGAAGAGAGAGAGAGAGAGAGAAAGAAAGAGAGAAAGAGAGAGAATGCACGCGAACAAAGCCCGAGTTTGACTCGGTGATAAATGCAGCTGCAGGTTTTAGTCCGTTTTCAATCAGCTAAAGCAAATTATTAAGAAAGATTAATAAGGAAAGAGAAAAATGTTTTCTCAGTTTTTTGCATATTATGTTTCGCGAAGCTTTAGCGTGACCCGAAGATTAAGAACTCGCAAAGCGGCGGAGAATGTCAGAGGTAAACGGGGGAGGACGAATTTCACTTTTTTTTCAATTTGTAGCGAAGCAACGCGGAGAAGTGCAACGACGATTTGCATGATAATATGAGCCTTGCTAACTTTCGAACTGAATAGTATTATATTTACATACTGGCCAAATGATATATTCTCAATTGTTTGTTATAAGTAAGTTTGATCATCTCTACAAGCAGTTGAATTAAATGTTCTTCTGAAAGCTATACATTTGTACATACACGGGTAGTAAAAATTTTAAGCTAGAAAAACTAATGTTGATGGAAGCCCAGACAAATAAGTTTTATTCACATTTTGATTTTTACGAAATTTAATGTAAAACCAGTCATTCAAATTAAAGCAACCGCAATTGCAGAAAACATGCATAAATTTTATCTTATACGTTATTGTTAACGAAAATTTAACGAAAAATATTAACGAAAATTTTTCAATTTTATACTCAAATTTAAAAATTTTGATTGAAATTGCAAAAAAATATATGAAAATTTAATCATAATTAAAACCAGCATCTACCACTAGATGGCGATTCCTTTAATCTGTAAATCTGCAAGTGGCAAAGTAAAAATAATTGTATAAGTTACCATTTTCCAACTTTTCTCGGACTGCTTTTTGACAATGTACAATCGAAAAAAATCCATACAACACACATTATCAACAAAAACAAACTAATGACTTTAAAAATAAGTAGCTAAATAAATTAAAATGGTCGTGTCTACTTTTTTCAAATTATCATTTAAAACAAATTAGTAATCAAATTCAGAAGATGCGTTAATGTAAATGCAAAGACTCTAATTCAATGTCAATTGAATTGATTCATGTTCAAAAATCAAAAGTCTGCTTGAATCAATCCTTAAGAAATGGCATCATGGTTAAAGCTGTTAATAAAAAAACTTGTCAAGACTAGTAGCTGGTCGGCCTCTCTTCATAAAATACACGTTGCAATGCAGAATCTTCCACATATAAACATCAGCTTTCAGGTGATATATACTTACAGAAGCTCACTCCACAGAATTATACAAAAAAAGAAAGTGAAGGAGAGAACCCGATGAAATAGTCTGAGCCTTCTTCACAAAGCAGCAGTCTGAAGCGCTCTTTTTTATACGCACGCGGTACAAGAGCGGATTTTATTGCATGAATTCATCTATCTATATGTATCACGACTCGCGAGGCTTTCATAAGCACCGAATGAAAAGACTCGGCACTGCCTGCTTCTGCTGCAGGCAAAGGAAAAAAATAAGAAGCAAACGTAAGAGCGATCGTACATTTTCTATGCATGTGAGATTACGTGCAAATGTCCGTATTGATTGCTTCGAATGAAAAAAACAATGACTGCAACAAAATGTACCCGATCAAAGATGCAATTGAATTCGGTATGGAGGAGGAAAGTCAGTTCGTCGGTTTCATTATCAAGTTCCGAATTTGTGTTTCGTGTGTCTTACGTAGAAGAAGGGATAGATTTAACTCTAAATTACTCATTTACAGTCAATTTATAAAAAAAACAACAACTTTATTTGTCGTTGTTGATATTAGAGTAAATATCTTGGAAATAAAACTATAAATCGATAGCGCATGCTTTATAATTTTGCTTTGATCTATAATCCTGAGCTAATTGACTATATTATACTCTCGTAACCTGTCGCGCTTGTCTCACAATACATTTCTTCATGCACGCTAACGATTAACGTGAATGAAACGGCTTAACCTAAAAAGTTCAAAGATACATCGCGATTCTACTTTTACACAAAGTCATATTCAAGCATCTAATGAAATTAACAGTACTCAAAGTTATATGACCGTACTGCAGCTTTGGTCTCAGCTAAAAGTATGTATGCGTATACCGTGTAGGGTTGTATCAACATTCGAAGTAAGACTTTTTTAAGGAATTCTCAAGAACGAGTATACGGCCTTCGCGCTCGCTCTCTGTACCTCTCGCACTACGTACCTGAATCTATACATAGGAGAGAAAAATTCGCTTTGGATTCCACGATTCAACATTATTTTACGCTACTTTGAACGTGCCCGAAAAGTTATCCGAAGCTGCAGAGTTTACTCGGTCTCGCGCGAGTTTCAAAAGATTGTTTTTCTACTTTATCGCTAAGATTTAAAAACATGATATTGCCGAATAAGTTTACTACAATACGATATTGAATCGATTTTTTGTGTTTATTTTAGAGAATCATGCAGAACAAAAAATGTATTTAATTCGTCGAAATGCTTGCGAACTCGATAAATGCCTATTTGAATTCCTACGTGAAAATTTACAAATACGTTAATCAGAAAATAATGGCACGAATGCAATTTCAATTTAAATCTGCATTATCATACGATAAATTCTAATATTTTATTCAACAAACATTACGAATGATCCTTGTCTTATATTTCTACCTTCATTTTCAAATATCGACATATTCTATTAATGCGTTGTTATAAGCTTTTCAATTATTATCATTGATTATAAATTTTCAATACAAATGCGCGTCGCACATTTGCAAAACGTCAAAAAGTATGAATGTTCTCGAGAGAATTATATAACTCAGCTCGCGTCGACGTCCCTTGCGACTTGTCGATATGCCTATGTGATCATCATAGGCAGAGACGCACGAGTTATATGTCCTGCAGCCCTTCCGCTTTCGTAATTTGACGTTTTAGCAATTATCCATTCCAGAATTACACATCCGATCCTATATATATGGTTGTGTACATGGTTGTGTTTGTGTGCACAGGATGTGACGCGTGATCCGTGTGGGGCAAAAAATAGGTGATAGCACAAAACACAACGTACACCCGAAGCTCCGTCAGCGACCTGATAAATATGGATACACTAGCGGCGCGTCGTTGCAGGTGGTGCCGCGATAGCGTCGTCGTAAATTCGCTTTGACTGGCAAAAAATTTAGAAAAAAGACAAGCTGATGCGTTTTTTATGCGAATATGATCCGTATAGCTATTTGTTTTTAATTATGAAAGCTCGTGGATTTCTCATTCGAACGGGGACAACACCGTTGAAATGGAGTATATCATTTAGGCCAGATAACAGTGGCCTGAAAAATCGGATTATCGGGGTTTATATACAGTTGAGCTCGCACACAAATATATATCGCGAAACGATTGCGCTCGTCGAATGGCATGATTAGTCGATTATGAGCTCTGTGTGTATCGGTCGTGCGCGGCCTACTGGGAGATGGCGCATTTGGTATATATA